ACAAAAAAAGAACACCATTTTTTTTGTAATATCTATGATGTAATTGGAGCTTATTGGCAAAAACAAATCAATTTAGGTAGTCCTTTATGGTTCCAGTGGTGACTAGATCAATGCGTTATTGCTACAAGAGAAGCTCCCATCAAAATTCACTATGAATATTTGGGGACCTATTATGAGATTTATGGACACTATCTAATAGTAAGAAGTATAAAAAAAGAAATTCTTTATATATACATATATATTCGAATCATTCTTGGTCATATTTCTCTTTATCGAGGAATAGACGAAGCCGTATAGGGGTTTTGGCAGAGTTTTTGTTATTCTATGCGACCAGCAGGAATGCGAGTCTCGCCGGTTTAACTAAGACTATAATTACATAATTTCTACTTGAATCAAGATCTAGAAAAGGAAGTTTTTCAATCACTGGCTCAAACCCATTGTCAAATTCTACTCAGCGCAATATGGAGGTACTGATGGCGGCAACGGGCCACTCATGTCTTTTACAATAAAATGATAGATGAAACTGCCATGAAACAACTTATGAGTTGATTTATTGATCACTATGGAATAGGATATACATCACATATCCCGGATGAAGTAAATACTCTGGGTTTTCGAAAAGCTACAACCACATCCATTTCATTAGGAATTGTATAAGACAAACATAAAAATTAGGAGGAACACTTGAACATTGGAGATTTAGAATGGAAAGAAACAACCTTTTAGTGAATAAGATAAGATCAAGAAGCAATGATTATCTCAGATCAAAGGACAAAGAAGAAATTAAATCGAAGGAAACATAATTGATTGGAAGAAATCCATGATCTTCTTATACTAAAATTAAAACCTGCCTTCGTATTTTGGAAGAATAGAGAACAATTGATAACCGAGAACAATCACCAGAATGGAATGATATTGCACATAGCGTGAATGTACCATTGAGTTCAATGTTTTGAGAAAACCGACTGAGGAGAGAAGAGGAGCTAGACATGAGAGATAACTCAGGGGCGTGGGGAGACAATTCAGGATATCTGCTTTGAAGCATGTACACACTGCAAAAGCATTAGTACCTCTTAAATTTCAACAATAATTACTATGTGGTTATTAATATATTATATATATACATATATATATATATATATAATGGTATTCATATTATTATACACGGAAATGTTCATTTGAGAAGTGGTAAGTAATTGAGATATAAGGAAGTGATCCTAGCCCTTCATTTGGTCAACATTTACGGCTTTGAATGTGAAGCACCGAATAATTTCTCATATGAGTATGAATAAGATAGAGGGGGTGGTTTTATAACTTTTACAAATAGACGACAAACGGATTTATATGTGAAATGGTGTGATTCACATATGAACTATATGTTTATATGTGAACCCGTTAATTAGTTCACATGTGAACTATTTAATTGATTCACATATGAACCCGTATATGTAAATCAGTTAATTAGTTCATATGTAAATCATACAGGTTCGTATGTGAATCAGTTAATTAGTTCATATGTGAATTACACGAGTTCATATGTGAATCACGGGTTCACATATGCATCCATTTGCTGCATATTTGTAAAATTTATAAAACTACCCCTCTATTTTTCGATTAGTCGCAAATTTTGACCAATAAAAAACCGCAACTCTTGACCAGTCAAATCTGATCTTGACCGTATGAAGGGCTACGATCACCTATTTGCTTCTCAAATATTTACCTCTTCTCAAAATAACCTATGGCTTATATATATATATATATATATATATATRTGTGTGTGTGTGTGTGTGTGTGTGTAGGAACAAATGCATTTGAGAAGTGGTAAATATTTGAGAAGTCAAGAAGTTATAGTCCTTCATCTTGTCAATATTTGCGGCTTTGACTATAAATCACTGGACAATTCTCTCACATGGGTATGCGAATATAAAGAGGTAGTTTCGTAACTTTTGCAAATAGACGATAAACGGGTTCATATATGAACCCGTGTGATTCACATACAAATTATATGCTCATATGTTTACCTCTAATTAGTTCACATGTGAATTATTTGACTGATTCAGATATGAACCCATGACTTCACATGTGAATCGGTTAATAGTTCACATGTGAATTACACAAGTTCATATGTGAATCAGTTAATTAGTTCATATATGAATCACAAGTGTTTTTATGTTAATCAGTTAATTAGTTCATATGTGATCAGTTACAATAGTTCATATATAAATTACACGGGTTCATGTTCATATGTGAATCACAAGGGCAGGGCGGCCCTGACTATAGGCCCAAGGGGTGACGGCCTAGGGCAGCAAATAACCCAATGACATCACTTTCTGAAGCCCATTTATACATAGGTATGTTATTTTTGGGTTGGGTCTAAAAAGCTTACCATTAGTACATCCAAGGGACAAAGGCGTCGACCGCTCACGGCTTATTTTTCTCGACCTCGCTTCATGAACGAAGTACAAATGAACTCTCGATTGACATTTCCCGACCTCACTCTCGACCTCTCCTTTTCGTTTTTTACTCTCTGTTTCTGAGTTCTCTCGGCCTCTCGCTCTCGACCTCGTTTCTGGGACTAGTTGTGAGGTACTGAGGTTGTCTGATTGTCTCGTGTCTGGGTCTTGTGACGGCTCGAGCTCGACCTTGTTTCTAGAATCTGGAACCGCTCTATGCCTCTGTCGCTCTCACTCATCTCTGTTTTATTTGGTAAATTTCTATTATTCTAATTTTGATTTCTAATGTTTTATGTTTAATGTTTACTGTTTAGTTTAGTCTGTTAGATTAGGGTTATTTTATGTTTCTAATTCTTGTTTGATTTGATCACTTTATGTTTGAATGTTTAATGTTTAGACTTTAGTTTAGCTTAGATTAGGATTTGATGATTTAGATTATTATTTAAAGATTTGATCTTTTGTTTAGATTAGAGATTTAGGATTATTTTGTTTAATTGTTTAGTTTAGGTAGGGTCAATTAACTTATATTGTTTAGTTTTGGTTTACCCAAATGACCAAATTCTTATTTGATCACTTTATGTTTCTTGTTTGACCACTTTATGTTTTCTCTTTTTGTTTATATTGTTATTATTGCAGAAACAAAGTTATTTCCACTTTGAAAGTTTGAAGTTTCAACCTGTTTGGCAATTTCACGACACAAACGACCAAAACCAGGTAATATCTTTCTATTCTTTATATCGTATTTATTTGTTTAACAATTTCATGACTATAAATGTTAAAACTTTAATCATTACATAGCAAGAGCCAAAACCATAAAAACTTGTTTCTTGTCAACAATAGGTTCATTATGCATTTAATGGTAGGTTGTTGTGTATGTCATCAAACTTATCTGTACCCAGGTAGTAAGATTAATATTCCTTATTTCTTTAATCCCAACCTAGGTAAAGGAAAAGAGGCAGAGGAAATTAATTTGCTGCAGAAATTATCAGAAGCTTGCATTGTTGATTTCTCTCAGATTGACTCTTCAACTGCACAAGTAAGTTTTTATGTTCATGGCATAAGTTATATACTTTTTATTGTTTGTTTAAAGAAAAATGAATATTATTGCTATTAATTGATCTAGTTGTTCATCAAATCAATCAAGCCAATCTCTGGAGTTCTCATTCTGTGATTAATATTCAAGTTATCATCTACCGATTTTTGTTCTAATCCCATTAGATTTTGATGTATATTACCACAATTTCAGTAGCTATAATATAGTTGAACATACCTATAAAAGTGCAGTAATTAAGTGATGATTTGCCCTTACTTGAATGTGCAGTAACTAATTCACTTGACTGTTCTCCCTTGACTTCGCAATTTTACATATGAAACTCATGATTATCATTGGTCGAGACCCAAAATATGATTATATGAAACACATGATGTACTAATGGAGTCATGCAATAAATATTTTCATAGCAAACACCTGAAGTGACTAAAACTAGGAGGACAAAATTAGTGAAGTAGGAATAAGCCATTGATGTTGTAGAGTGTAAATAATTGAAGAAGAACCAACCAATTAAGTGTTTGGAGTTGGATTGAGAAGGTATGAGTGTTAATTTTAGTTTATACAGAAGACGTGTGATGTAGTAAATAGAGACAAGTATTAGATGAGTTGGTGTTATGATGCTCCTTATTTTGGTTCTGGACAAGTAGATGAGTTGGTGTTTAAATGCAAGGACTATAACAACTCGACTAATGAAACCTTAATATATTATTTTTAAACCAAACATTCAACTATAAGATCACACTTATGAACAAACAACACTAATGGATCTCTCGGTCTACGAAGGAAAAAGCTAGACAATTGTAAATTACCACACTTGGATGTTTTTATTTGGGTATCATTTGGACTTTTCGCCAAGGGCACCAAAAATCTCAGGACCAGCCCTGCACACGGGTTCACGCATGAACATGTTTGCCGTCTATTTGTAAAAGTTACAAAAATAACTTCTTTATTTTCTGCATAGCCGTAAATTTTGACCACTCAAAGTCATAATTTTTTATCAGTCAAATCCGATCTTGACCGTATGAAGACTAGAATTAATTCATTACTTCTCAAATATTTATCACTTCTCAAAATATGTAAATTACATTATTTATATTATTTTCTAATAGAAAATGAAAAAAAAAAAGAGTAATAACCTTTAACTAAGGCGGCGTTTGTTTACTTCTTAATAATTCCATTAATAGACAATATATGAATAATTAAGAAGTGAATCATGTTTGACAAAAAACAGTCAGCCTCTTAATGATTATAAAACCCTGTGAATGATTTTGTATCATGGACCTCTTTTAACCATTAAGTGTCTAATTTCATTGTAAAAATTTACCAAACAATTATATTTCATTTTAGAATATATCATGAGAACCTCTATAATTATAATCAATTAATCATTCTGTACCAAATAATTTATGAACCGCAAACGGTCCCTTGACAAGAACCTTTGTTAGAGTTAGGGAAATGACCTGATTTATAACAAAAATAAACCACATATTTCTTTCGTTTCTGGATTTTAGATTTTCCGATAATAAAACCCTAAACAGGAGATATTTTAATTAGATCCATGATAAAAGAAAATAGATATTTGTGTTTCCCTCAAACTTGATTCATATATGTATTCAATTCAATTTCATACAAACTGATTCGATTTGAAAGAATGGAAGGTCCCTTAGATCGATACTATAAATTAGGGATTCAAGAATCCTTCTCCCAGCTCTGCCATTACCCATCAGCTTGTAAAGAGCTCGCTTTAATTCTTAAACTCTCCTATTCTAAATTCCCCAAAGTGTTACAATCTCTCCTCGTCCAAGACGTCCTCACGGCTTTTCGTCTTCTTCCTCGGTATGTTTTTTCTTCGATCCGTGATCTTAGTCTTATTGTTATCAACTTCTTTTTATTATGTTTATGAATTTTTTGACGTTATCGTCAGCCCAGCTTCATGAAATTTCTTTAGACGAGCAGTTAGGGACAAATTGATTGTCAAACAGTTCTGCAGAAAGTAAGTCATACTTGGATTTTTTATGACGATCATTAATCATGCTTCTTTCAAAGGCTAAATTTTATGGACTGTGTTGCTAATTTAATATAGTCTGCATTTTGAAGTTGAAAATAAACCAGTGCAGAGTCAAAATTTCAGCTTTAATGGGAGGAGGGTAGACTACTTTGTATGCCTTACTGAATAGTTCTTCATTTTTCTATGAAACTTAATTAGAAGGAAGGAATCACAAATAGAAACATTTTTAAGAATTTGCATTTGTGTTAGATTATTCATAATTATAAGCAGGAGAGGCAAATCCATTCTTGATATGGATGGTTTCCTTCAGATGTGTTTTGTGGGATTTAGTGGCTGTAGGGCATATCAAATATACTAAGGTGGTGTTGGTTTAGAGGTATGGGAATGAAATCAAGGGAATGTTAGTAACGATTAAGATGTGTTGTTTGGTTTAAGGATATGGGCATGAAAAATCCCGTCATTCCCAAAAGTGAGGTTATCACCAAATCCATGGAGGGATGTAGGTTTAGTACCCATTCCCAAATCCCAAATCTGATCTCATTTCGACTTGACGAATGTCGATAATCAATCCAACCTTGCCGAAGTCCCAAGTCCGTCACCATCTTTGAGCCTTCTCGTTGTTGTACATAGTCGTCTTCCTTCTCCATCCGTCCTTCTTTTCCTTCTGTCGTCCTCATTTCTCTGCTCCCACCATCACCACCACCAGAGTGTACCAAGCCATTGTTCAAACTCCGCACAACTAGGTACATGCTTACATCACTGATTTTTAGGGTTTTTATTTTTATTTTAGGCATCATTAGCTTCTGATTGATTAGAAAATTGGGTTTTGGATTAGTCTTGTTGTGGGTTTTTGGTTTAGAATGTGCACCTTCTTCTTTTTTGCAATGACTATGGTTGTTCCTTCATCATGTTTCTCATCTTCATCTTCTTCTTCATGTCTTCGTTTTTAATTCTTATTAAATAAATGAACATAAATTACAAAAAGAAGCACGGGGCCTAATTTGGTTTGCAAAACTTGTATCAAGAGTAAAGTTCTTCCTGTGGTGATTATGGAAAAAATGGTGCAAGGAAAGAAAAGCTGGTGGGGGTGGGTGGAGAACATCATAGGCACAATGGATGAAGTACCCAAACCCAACTCATTATCTAAATAACAATTTTTGAATCATCACGCCTTTTATATGCTTACCTTTCTCTGTTACCTGTTATCCAGTTTCTTTACAAAATCCTCAACTTTTAAAAGTGTTGGCAAGCTTACTGATAATCTTATTCCAAAGTCTTTTCACAAGCGAAGGGTCTTCACGAACCTCTTCACCCAAGAGGAAAGCTCCGTAAATATCCTAACCCTCTCAGATTCCACCTCCTAGTGGGATATATAGGGTGTGTTTGGTTTGGTTTATATACATTTCCATCCTAACATACTATCGAACCCATACACATTCCATTCCAGGACAACAAACCAAATGCCACCTAAGTTTTGCTGCTTTTACAGTCTGCTTTGGTAGAGGTCTATGGTTATGAGTTAAAAGAAATTACAAAATATTCTAAATATTTTTGTGGCCTAAGAAAACTTCAGATATTAACTTACTTAGAAATTTTTATTATTTTTTACTTGTTACTTTACCAGGTAATAAGGTATATGCTCTTTTGACTTGGTAGAAGATAGAACAGGTTGCTTCATGTGGATAGCGAAAATGTGAAATCCCATCTTTCCTTGTGTAGTGTACTAGAGTATTCGTTTTAGTTGTTTATGGGGTGTATCTATTCATACTATCAAAGATCTTTGTATTCTGTCACTGAAGGAAAAATTACTGTATTCTTGGCATACTCATGTCCATGTAATGTATTTTCTTGAATTCAGAATGCAAACACAATCCGCCATTTCAGCAGCCAATATTCTCCTTCAGAGTGTGGAATCGGCATTCCCAAAGCAAAAGAAGGCGCTGGCTGTAGCCGAGTTCAAGCATGCCATGGTTGCTCATAAGAGGTATTCGAAAGCCCATAACAGTGAGGAAGGTTGGTTTTTGTTTAATGTGCCTGCAATGCTCCAGAATTCTTCATGTTCTAGGCACACAGTTTAAGGATCACTAAGTAGTAAAATTAGGCTGCCATGCCCACTTCTGTATATGCCTCTGAATGTATTGATTTAATAATTTGGAAACTAAAGGGTGATATTTATGCTCATAGAAAAGTACATGGACCTTACTTGAACTAGCACACAAATGTGAACAGTCTTAAGGTTCATATGGTAAACAAGTATCATATGCATATTTGAATGGTCCCTCTAGGCTAATTTCAATTAACAAACAAAGGCTTGCTTGTAGATACGGAGTTGGCTCTCCCTGTTGCAACAATCTTGATGAAAAATGCTCAGTTAGTGTTGAAACATGTGTGCCTATATGATTCATCTTACATTAATTTGTTTTTTTGATTTTTTTTATCCAGATACTCTTGAACTGCCACAAGATGTTCTTGTGCACGTCTTCAGTTTCTTGGATTTAAAATCTTTAGTTTCTGCTTCGCAAGTTTGCCGGTACTTCTTCCCTTCTGTTTATTATTTTTTGTGTATCCAATTGTTTTTTCATTCCTACCAAGTACTTAGTTGACAATGATTTTTCTTATGGTTAAAATTCGTCACATAGTTCTAGTTGTAAAAGTAGCGGTTCGATCAGAGAAAACAATTTTAAATAATGCTTATCCCACAACAAGAATTCTTCTTTTCCAAATTAGTTGAGATAGGCTAAAAATAAATCTAAAAAGTTACAAGTATGGTGGTTCCCAAAGACAAACACCAAGGTGAACCCTTGCTAGGGTCCTATGTAGGGTTGGGTAGTTTTTCAAACGTTTGCTCTGTTCCTTGTGCCTACTACTCATGTGTTTTTAGTTGTTCCTTAATATCTTTTAGCGTTACCTTTTCTTTCAAGATCCTCTCTTTCGAACTCTGCTTTTTTTTTTCTTCTTCTACGAAATCTGTGACAACCTTTCTGAAAATTGTGGGTCAAACTTTTCTCTCACATACACATTTTTTTAAACCGGGCACCTTCATGGAAACAACTGCTCTACTTTGTGGAGTAGGTGTCATGTTTGCATTTATCCACTCCCAGACCCTACCTCGGAGTGGGATATACTATGTTAGTTTGGTTTTCCACACACACATATCAAAGGCCCAAGTGTTCTTGCCACTTTTCCTACTTAGGAAAATATCATGAGAGACTCGTATCTCTTACATTTCATAAAAGGAACTTATCATCAACTCTTTCCACCTTTAAAATTTAGATGCCACTAATACTGGTAAATGTTTCACTTGCAGTTTATGGAATGTCGCTTCAACTGATAGCCATATATGGCAGTTGATGTATGCTATGTTCTTCAACACTTCACATAATTTCTCCAACAAATATATGCTCTATGGTGGAATGACCGAGGATGAGAAGTCCAAAAATTCCCAAGAGAATGTTGTTTGCAGAAGCAGCCTTGACTGGAGAACTGATTTTAAGAAAGCATATGAAGGTATGTAGTTATACACAAGTGTTTAAGAAATCAACTAGCACTCCCATAGGTATTGTTATATATCTACTGTTTGAGAGATCAATTAAGTACTACATAGAAACATGACAAATTGCTCACTTTTCACAAACTGGGGGCCTTCACAAAAACAACCGCTCTACTATTTGAGTTAGAGGTCAAGTCTGCATACATCTTACCCTCCCACACCCCAACTACGGGTGTTTATAGAAACATGACAAAACTAGGCATTCAACTTTACCTGCCATTCTACTTCCTGACAGTTAGATTTAATTTGATTGCAGGCATCTCATCAAAGAAACTCCTTACATCTTGTAGGGGATTCTGCAAGCACTGCCATGCAATCTTTTGGTTCAGTGACATGGGAAAAGGAACTTGTAGACTGAAATGCAAATATCACCAGATGAAGCCGATATCTACACGACAGGTAACTTTGATGGTTTGATCTTCAAGTTTCCAATAGTTATGACTGATGGGTTTCTGGTTGCAATAAAGTTGTTTTAATGAATTTGTGATAAATGCTTCAAAAATGAAAGGAAACTTAAATAGGTAAAGTGGAATATCATGATATATACTTGAAGAACATTTTGTTTTGGCAGATTGTTGAATACCTAGATGGTGACTATTCTTCATCAGATAGTGATTCCGAGTCCGATTCATATGAGGAATCTGCTCCCAAGCTTTGGGCTTATCCTAGGAGGTCTGAATTTTCTCTGTGAATGTAGTTGGATTGGTAAGCTCTTTAGAGATGATATACATGGCTGTACTTTATTTTCTTTATATTAGAATTGGTTCCAGATGATCAGAAATCACATATACAATACAAGAATAATTGTAGAAATTGTTGATATCAAGTAATTTTTGTTGTCATTTACTAAATTCATAGGCTTGGTTTAGGGGTAGTGGTAGTTGATGGAAGTAATTAAGACATGATTGTTAATATTATGGTTTTCAATACCAATAAAACTTGTTCTTCAGTTTACCTGCCTACCTAATCACTGAGATTGAGGAATTTTTATATGTTATTACTTCCTTCCTCAAATAGTGGAGATAGGTTCAGTTAGGGTGTGATTAGTGTCCAGACAAGATATTGGATAACCGGGTTTTTCGGTTATATAATTTTGGGATGGTTTTTGAAAGGTATTGGTAAGTAATAATTTAATCTGTTATGTGTTTACTTGCTTAAAATAATAATTCCACTGCCAGTGATTTTATGTATAATTTATTTCATAGGGATGAGTGTGAAAATTATGATTATAAAACTCTTTAACTCCACCGCCTGTGAAATTTTTATGGTAGTATAAAAGCGATAAGATAAGATTTATCTTATCTGTTTGTTTTGGAGAGAAGGGAAAAGAAAAATCTTATTTTGTGTGTGTTCTTGTGTGAAATCTTACGTGATTCTGTAAGAAGGAGAAGTTGATTCTGTGGTTGTATTTGGAAATCGATGCTGTGTAATTTATCTTCGTATATGTGAATAAAAGGTGAGTTTATATTATCAACTTTCTATATTTAGTATTTGAAATACTGAACTGGTTGGTGCTTATGTGGAAAGAAGGCAAAACTATTTTTGAAGTTGTTTTGAGTTGATAATGAAACTGGGTTTAGAACTGTAAAGTTCTTAATATGAGTTTATATTATGGAACTGTTTTGATGTCATTTTTGGCAAAAATGGTAGATTTCTTATGGTTATATTTTATGTGGAAATAAGAGTGGTATATCAAGAGAGGTGTACCTTGGTATAAGAGTGACATATCAAGTAGTAGGGGTGTTCAAAAAAACCGTTAGAACCGCTCAAACCGGCCAAATCAAGTCAAACCGGACCGTTTTTGGCGGTTTGAGCGGTCTAACGGTTTGGTTTGGCTTGGAAAATAGCAAAATTGGGTGGTCCGGTCCGGTCCGGTCTAGAACATTTTTTGGGCGGTTTGGACCAAGCCGACCGCCATAATATATGGGCTCATTCAAGGGATAACTGATTAGTTTGTGGTAACTGTGAGATCCAATCTCAACCACAAATTAACGGATAAATTAGGAAATTAATAATTATGGTAATTTGAGTTAAAATTATAATTAGAGGACATTTTAAGTATTTTAAAAAAACTCCTCTCTCATCTCTCCGACCTCCAATCTCCGGCCTCCGGTGAACATTAATCCGGCAGGTACCAAGTAATCATAAAGATACACAATGTGATACTCATTGTGATATACTGTGATACCAACTATGATATCAACTTAAACCTTAAAAACAAAGATACACAATGTGATACCCATTGTGATATACTGTGATACCGATTTCACCGGAGGCCGGAGATTGGAGGTCGGAGAGAGGAGAGAGGAGATATGAGTTTTCTAAAAATACCTAACATGCCCTTTAATTATAATTTTAACTCAAACTACCATAATTATTAATTTTCTAATTTATTCGTTGATTTGTGGTTGAGATTGAACCTCACAGTTACCACAAACTAATCAGTTCTCATTTGATTAGACCCCTATATATATATATATATATATATATATATATATTATTTATTTTAGTATTAACAAACCCAACTTTTTTTAACATATAGACTATGCCTCAAATATATCTCTAAGCCCAATATAAAGCCTAACATCTAACATAATCAAAATAGATATTTAATCTAAAATTATAAATTATATATGTTTTTTTAAGTTTAATATTTAAAGTCCATTAAAGGCCCAAACCGTCTAAACCAGTCAGACCAGACCGCCTTTTTCGTGATCTGGTTTGATCGGTCTGGACACTTGATGTCAAACCGCTTGGTTTGAAAATTTTATAAACCGTCATTACAGTTTGGTTTGTGGTCTAAGGGGTTAAACCGTCCAAACCGGACCGCAAACACCCCTATCAAGTAGAGGTGTATATTGGGATAAGGACTAGAATAAGAGTGGCAATTGTGAAATCTGAGTTTTGACCATATATTTTGTTATCGCATCCATATGATGCAATGACCATAAGTTATCGCTTCTGGTGATACGAGGACTTGGGGATTATTGCTCCTAATCAATGTGATAATAATGTTTTTTTTTGATGAGGAGGAAAATTGTTTGTAATCAGAAAGACTTTGATTGACTGTGCTTTGAATTAACAATGTTTTTGGGTTGGTCTAGTTTCTGGATGGTTATACTTCAAGTTGTTTCAATAAAATAAAGGTTTGATGAAGAGCGAGAGGGGCTCTGGTTGGTCTTCATGTCCAACAAGAATGCCTCTGGTTGTAATCGAAGATCCAAGTTCTTCAAATGTTCACTATATCTTGACCTAGAGGCTCTGCATGTGCTATGCAAAGGTCTATATTTTGGAATTTAATGGTATGTCCGAGCTTTGTATCCGAACTTTGTATCCAAACTCTTAGTTCCAAGTAGGGCTGTAAACGAACCGAATGAACACGAACAGAGACTTGTTCATGTTCGTTCGTTTAACTAAATCGAACAAACGAACGAACATGAACAGTAAACGAACGAAAATATTTGTGTTCGTTCGTTTAGAAATCAAGTTTGTTCGTGTTTGTTTATGTTCGTTCGTTAAATGCTAACGAACATAAACAAATGGGCTAAACGAACATGTCTAAATGAACATAAACTAACATTTGGAGGCTAGAGTTTTGGGGAAAAAGTGAAGGTAAAATTTTCAAATAAGACAAAATGATGATAAAATTTAAATCTAAATAAATTCTAAAAAGTTAAAACTTAAATAAATATTATTTGAATTCAAACTAAATAAATAAAAGATTATATATTAAATATAATATATAAACAAACATAAACGAACATAAATGGACTAACGTTCACGAACATAAATGAACGAGCGAGACTCTTGTTCATGTTCGTTTGTTTAACTAAAGAACATAAACGAACTTCCCGCCGAACGGTTTACGGATGGTTTGCTGAACTTCCGTTTGTTTACAGCCCTAGTTCCAAGCATAATTTTTATAATTAAAACCTTTTGGATATAACCATTTTGAACTTCGTTTCTATGTTGACAATTAGAGTCAGAGTATAATTCAACCAGAAGGGCTCTGGTGGGCCTCAATGGGCTTAGCTATGGGCAGATTGTTTCTACTTATCTGTTAAGTCCTTGAGAAAAATTTCCAACCTTTGGTAGATGACCAGAAAGGCTCTGGTTAACTTCCATGTTTAACTAGAGGGTCTCTGGTTATGTTTAAAATCTATTTGCTTTCAAGTATAACTTATTTTCTTATTTTTCATAAGCTCTAGTTAGACAGGCCAGATGCTTTGGTCATCCAGAAGGCCTCTGGTTGGTCATGCATCTTTAGTTTGTCTTAAAATTTTGAGACCAGAAGCTCTGGTTGGTAAGACCGGAGGCTCTTGTTGTCCAGAGGTGCTCTAGTTGGCTTGCCTCTAGATTCCTTTTTTTTAGTCAATAACCAGAAACTAGTTGATCATATCTTGTGTTAATATTGATTCGAGATGGCCCAAACTTCAAGTTAGCCTTTAGTGGCCTTGTTTTAGTTATGCTTTGCTCCGGTTGATGGATAAGAGGAGTTCTGGTTCTTAAGGGCTAGAGGAGCTCTGGGTGATCCACACAGAGTGATGCTAGGAATTTGAGAATCTCGCACAGAGTGATGCGAGGAGTTGAGTGATCACACTTCATGTGCGACGAGGAAGATTTATAAATTCATATTCGAATGCGATATGGGTTATGTTTTATTAAAAGCTTATATATATATATATATATATATATATTTGTAAAATTATAAATATGATTTTATAATAGGTTTTGGTGATTTTCACCTTATAATTGCATAAAAAAGAATTTCTTACTAGACTTCAAAAATGTGCATTGAAGGTCAGGTATTATCAAGGGATAATAGAAAGGGGAAAATGTGAATTTTCCTTTTGTGTTTACATGGATTATGATGAAAGAGTATGTTATCTGTTGTTTTTGGAATACTAGTTATATATGCAAATTATGTACAAGAATGTTATGAAAAAATTTGGTTGTTAAATTTTGTAATTTAGCTTCTTGTACTTGTTGGAACCAAATGTGTATTTTTGAGTTTTTCGTTATATGCAATACATGGTAATATGCAAATGTGGATCTTGGGTGTTATAGGATAGGATAGAATATATGTTCAGTATTTGGTGGGACAGAACATCTGTTCAGCGTTTGGTGAGACAGAATTAGACTTAAAAGAACAAGTAAAATGACCAATTTACCCCAAATGAGTTGTTTATATATTTTGATCAATTTATGTAATTTATTAAATTATAATAAAATAATTATTTTTATAATAAGACATATCATTGAAAACTTTTCGTCAAAACAATTAAAATGACACCAAAATAAAAAATTTAATAAGAGATATCATTGAAAACTTTTAGTTTATCCCTCTTCTATATTATTTTATTGTTATTAATATATAATAAATTACACAAATTAATAATTATATAGAAACCGTATAAAAAAAATATTTTGAGTACAACAAAATAAAAGTTTAAAAAACATAAAATATAATAACTAAAATTTAAAGAATGAAAATATAAAAGGGAGACCTATTTGATATTTTAGAAGAAAATTAAGTTTTATTTTAAAGTTATATTGATAAAATATAAGTTTGTTCCATATGGTATGAATGGAACAAGCTTGTGTCACACTATTCATGTATTTTCCACATAAAAGTCCTACCAAACATATAACATAAATTCCTATTTTATTTTTTCATGTCCAATATACCGAATCCATACTTGGTATGATAGTAAAGACTTGGTAGGATAGTAAAGGCATTGCTGCCTTATCCAACACCAGCAGCACGAGGTAGAATATAAATCAAACATTAAACTTTACCAAGTTTAATTGGCCTATAATCAAATGTATCTGTTTAGGCAATTCAATGATACTTTAATTTTGGATGGTTTAGTAGTTGTAATCATGATACTTTTAATTTAAGTATGATTCTAAAATTTATGACGAAACATGTATGCATATAAACTTTACTACTAGCTTATTTTCTGTTTTGAAATTAACATGAGTAATATATATATACATATATATATATATATACATATATATATATGTATGTATGTATGTATGTATGTATGTATGTATGTATATGATAGTATAATTTTTTTTTTACATTTATAGTAGTTGCATTTCACTAATGATATAAATCTTGAAGGATGATAATATATAATAAATAGATAATATAATGGGAATTGGAAGGAAAGTGAATGAAGAATTGGAAGGTGGTGATAATTTTCACAACAACTAAACAGTTTTTATGCAAACTTCTTCTCCTTTTGTCCTCTGGGAACCTTGCTCAATACCTTGGCATGGAATACCTCATATTGTTTCTTCAACTCACCCTCTGCTTTCTCAATTAACACATCAATCTGATCCTTTTGTCGCTCGTATAGCAACGGCACCGTCAATAGCAGCACAAAGCCTGATTAAAACCGAACACACCTACTATAAATGTCATACCAACACAACACTCTTTCCTCATTGTTAAACTAGAAAAGAAAAGTTGCAGCATGGTTCTTACATATGTAGATCAATGTCAAGAGGTTACAGCAGCTTCCTGCAATCGAAACAATCCACAGACCAGCGATCACCTGATAAATGAGAATGCATATCGGATCAGTAGTCAACCTTATGATATCACAAAACTGATCTACATCATATGAAAATTTTAAAGATTCACAGAATTGGTGTCAAGATGATAGGGAGAAGATAAGAATATACAGCAAGAAATTCCTTGAGGTCTTTCCCAGAAGCAATTTCACGAAGGACCACCAGAGACTTATTGATTTCAAACCTAAGGACGGAGGCTATCTGCAGAGCAGTATCTTCGTGGATGGCGACTTGTGGGAATTGTGGACACCTGCTCATGTATATATAACATATATGTGATTCAAATATAGAAGAAACATGTCAAAAACATGAAGAATCCTATACATTACCTGTAGATGACGTTGAATGTATTTGACCACAGGAAATGGATCCCAAGAACTATTATTAGAACATGGCATAACAGACTAAGCAAGTGATATTCGATCCATTCAAAGAGCGCCCAGATTAAAGTGGCAACACCTAGCACGCAAATAGAGCTCTTCTTGTTCCTCCACAGCAGTATATCAGCAGCTGCCATGACCAAAATCTAAACATGATCAAAATGCAAATTAAAAGCACAACACCACATATAGTTGCTTATAGGGCAAACATATCTTTGCAATCACACATTCATATCATATGCCATCTAATGGGAGTTCATATGTGTCATAATCTATATGGACCCTGATGATGATCAGTTTGTGCATCATATCGTAACAAAGTTAAGAGGCAAAACATTGATGTTCCAAGTTTCAATATCCCAGCATAAGTGAAGTAAAGATATGGAGTATATCCATTATCCATATAGCTTCCCAACACTCATCTTTCATGCAATTATAACGCACTGGATACACTATACCTAAATCAGGCTCTAGCTTTGATTACCTAAAGTGATTAACTCAAGTTGACATCCGAATCAACTGAAAACCCAAAAAAAGTTATGCACAAAAGAATTTATGGAAGTTTAGCAAATGAGAGCTCTTCTAAGAACACAAGAGTACATATGGTCCACCTGAATTAGTCTACTTGATAGAACAAACAGAACCACATATGTCGCTGCATGAAAGGTAATAGAAGGGCCTTCAGATGAAATTCACCCTAAAGATATACTAAAAGTTCAAATTGTTTCCTTTAAGCATCTTCATTTTCAAAAAGTGTCATCAATATCTTAAAATAGAGATCTGCTATTGAACTCACATAAGTTATCAAGAACATCACAACTATCAGGTATATAGATCAGGGATCCTTCGTCTGAGAAAGATCTTATTTACTGCTCCCGGAGATAAATATTTAACAAACATCAATGCGGTCTGTTGATAGATTCGTACTAAAAGTGCATTGGAAAATCCAGCATGTAGTTCTGAAATGTGCAAATCTAAATTCGAATCACAATGTCTGCAAATGTAGATCGGGAAGAAGATGCTAGCTAATAAAGTTGGTCAGGGGGAACAGTGGAATTGCATGATAGTTTGAAAACAAAGGATCGTGCATAATACATAAAACCTACAATTAATTATCACCAAGAACTGCGTGAACGATTACCCTAATTCGTCAACGCCTAGGAATCAATATAATGCATCAAATGTAAATCATATATGAACGATCTGCGAATCTAAAAAAACATTTAATAATTGAAGTAGTTTTAGGGAAAGGTGCATACGTTTACCGCCTCCTAAGATCTCATGAACAGACTTCTCCTTCCCGAAGAGACGGTTAACCTTTTCTTTCATGGGTGATAGAGATAAGCTCTTCTTTCCTTTTCCTTTTCCCTTTCCCTTTCCCTTTCCTTTGCTCTTGCCATCAGAATCCGATGAAGAAGAAGAATCGTCTCCATGAAACGTCTCGGAGATCTTCTCTTTCACCGAGTCAACAAACGATTCATGCTCTCCGGCGGCATTATCTGCCATATCTGGATCTAGGTTACCGGATTTACGCAGTTATTCGCCGGCAATAAGGAGAACGTAGGTGTCCTCTGAATAATTTCGCTCCAATATGAAATGAACGAATGAATATGGTATGCATGAGGAGGAAGATTGAATCCGAAGCTCATATTAGGAGTACCCGAGCCTCAAGGTTCGGGGGGGTAAATTGGGAACACAAATTTTCTTTTGGCACGGTTGACGGTGACGGCGTCTGAAGTTCCGTCAGGCCTTTAGTTGTGGGCCGTCTTGTTTATAATATTCATTTATGATTACACATTTGTTGGCCTTTATTTGTTTAAATTCGTTCTTAAAAATATCAAACTCGTTCAAATATATTTTTATTCTTTCTCTGATTAAAATTATAGTATTCTTAACTTAATACTTGAAACTCTGAAGATTGGTCCTTATAGAGATCTCAATATTTTTATCATTTTATTACTTGAAAGAGATCATAGTGTCTGGTATGCTCTTGCACCGCTACTATGGTGACACAGGTGACCACTTAGTGGACTTTCATGTAAATGGAAATGGAAATGGAAATGTTTTACTTTTTTGGTACCATTGAAACTATAATTACCTACTTTTAGTAATTACAACTGTTTTAACTTAATGATTTTGTTTAGTTTAGTCGAAGGAAACAGATTTGTTGTTACTGGAAAGCATTTAAAATGCGAGGCTTGGGAATAGGTGTGCCAATGCCCACTTGCTAAGGCCCACTACAAAAAAGCGGGAACTTGTATCGTACATTTTTTAACATATACGATATGCATTAATAACTTGTACCATTCGCATTAAGAGGTTATCTCTTAGATATTATTATTTATAGCAACAATTTCAAAGTGATAATAACAACTATAAATGGATGACGAAATTGGTGATTAAAAACTATGAATCGGTTGAACGAATGAGGTATGATTTCTATGTCGCTGCTACGGCATAGAAAATTTTATTCCATATACATATTTTATGCATAATAGTCGGTTTGGAGTTCTACCCAAACCAAGGAGTCATTTACACAAACACGTACCCGATAAATGTTTACTGGTAAAAATCAACACTCAAGCTATTATATATTGATCTCATTGTTTAATGGAAATACGGATACCGTACTATCACAAATGATATAATTTTGTTCTTTTTTACATTTATGACAAATAAACTATGATCTTATGTTCACCATGCTGCATTATGCCGTTCAAGATCATAATATTATGGTTTATGAAAATAATCTCAGAACGTCGTCTTGTCTACTACACAAGATGAATAAGAGATACAAAATTGGGCTAATGCTAGAAACTGGTTCTAGGAACCGCCCATAAGCGGTTAAGTCTCTACCCGTCGTTTTAAGTACTTTGAAAAGGATTTAGTCTAGCCAACTTCGATAATAAACATGACGATACCTGGTCGTATGTGGCGTCTTGGCTCGTTACCTAGATGACTAGGTTGGGACTCGTCTTTGATTTAATATCTCTAGTAATATAACAATAATATCACATGTGATTGACTATAGTAAAATGATTAACTCGCGTTTTAATAAAACGAAGGTATCATTGTTTGAACTCTTCTTTATATACGTACATGCATACAAATATACATAGATACATAATACATAAATATATATACACAAACACACATATATGCATGCACCTAGTGGTAAGTTTCGGTTTGTGAGTTAAATGGTTTGGTTCACCGAATAAGGTAAGTTTCGGTTTCTATATTTTTTTTACAATATTGGTTAACTGAATAGTAAATTATTATAATATTTACTTTATATAGTTTTCTTCGAGATGAATTGGTTTAAACATATATAAAGTGAACATTATATGAATTGATTTATCTTTTAACTAAAATAACAAAAAATGAGATATATTTGATAAAACCATCAACTGATGTTTCCATTGTAGCCTAATTGCAAAAACTAACGGTAACAAAACAATCAATATACGGGGGAACAACTATCAAGCGAGGGAGTGGGGGGTTTCGTCAAAATTGACTGGATCACTAGGGAAACTGTCGTAAATGACTGGGAGAAGCAAGGAAATAGGAGTAAAAAAATTAAAATTTTATCCTAAATTACATAAACATTTGATGATTGAGCAGGGGGCTTCCCCCCCCCCCCCCCCCCCCC